AAAAAAAAAAAAAAAAAAAACAAATAGGTAAATATGAAGTGATTGATATCTGAAAACTTGTCATGTGATTCAAACCAAAATGTACAATGTACAAGATAAATTCACATAAAAGAATATAAAAATAGAAAAAAAAAATTAAAATAAAAATAAAATAAAACATAAAAAAAAAAAAAATGATCCGTATGAATCCAAAGAAGCAAATCAAATCGGGTACTCAGAGATGAGGCCGTCCGTGTTTTCTGGGTGTCCCTCTCTGTTCCGTTTCAATGCGTGTTGTGTGTGTGAGAGAGGTGTTGTGTGTGTGAGAGAGAAAGAGAATTGAAAATGGAAAAGGTAAATAAAATAAAAAGGTCAACTAACTGAAAAAGGTAGAAAAAATTAAATGAAAAGGTAAATCGAGATATACAATATAGGTATCTGCTAACTTGTTCATCATCAATTCAACCCTATTCACAGACCACTTTTTTACTTCCCTTTTTGCCCTGCAAACTTGGAACACAAACACAATTATTAACACACTCACACTGTTAAAATGATATTGACCAAATTGATAGATATATTACGGGGTCCCGTTACGGAACAATTCCATCGGGTTTAAAACCGTTAGATCAACTATAACCGACGGTTACATGATGATCTAACGGTCGGTCACAGATCTCGACGGAAGGGTTCAACATTTTCCAATCGATAGATATATTTAAACACAATAAATTATTCTAAAAAAAAAAAGAAAGAAAGAAAGAAAGAACTGAGTGTATAATACTTTTTTTTTTTTTCGAATAATGATGAAAGGGGTTTGAGAGGAATGAAGCCTGGTCCGAAGCCATCACAGTTTTTTTTTTTTTTTACCCCTTCTTCAAGCTGTTAAAAAAAATTAACTGCGTAGTCAATTAATTTAACAGCAAAAGAAAAAACTGTGGATGCGTCGAGCCAGCCAACATCCCCCACAAAAACACATTTCATCTCCTTCACTTCACTTAATAATTGTCAAGGGATTCACCGAAGGGATTCACCTCCGAGATGGTATCTTCGTCGTCTTTTGTGTGTGTATTATTGTTTTTTTTATTCATAGTGCTGCTACTAACCCTAGCCCAAAACTCTCTCTTTTATAGGAGAGAGAGAGAGAGACGTGAGGGTTTCTTATTTATTTTATTTATTTATTTGTTTATTTATTTATTTGAAATGTGATATTTTCTATCTCTTTCACCTACCCATGGCACAAATATTATGATTTTCCAAAATTTGTTAAGGACAAATTACATGGGATGAAAGTTTTGTTTTTGGTAAATTTTGTAAAATTGAATGTCTCGGAACAATATTTACTGCCTCAAAATCATGCTTTTAATTGCCTTTCATTTACTTAAATGATTCAATTTATTTTTTAAAGTATGTTTATTTGTAGTAAAAGAGGATGTGGGCCATGGAAAGACGTCACTCTTTTGGTGTGTAAAGTCAAATAATTTTAGTTGTCAATTACTTCATGTTTTAGAAAATTGATTGTTTTTGGATTCAATTAGTTTTTATTAATTTGGTTCGTTTTTTAATTATTGATAATTTTGAAAAAAAATATGATATAGTTAGTCATTTGTAAATAATAAAATCTAAAGTAATTTTTATTTACCTACTTGACCTAATTAAATTATTCATAATGGGCTCATTGACAAGTGGATCACTAGTGTACTAAAATTGTTAGTTATAATGTCAACATAATAATACATAATAGTGTAAGTGTGGTTGCATCTCGAACCTGCCTTTTCGTTAATCTTTCGACCGATTTGCTCTTCATACCTGCTGATGAGAATGAAGGTTTTGGCCTTCAAGGACGTCAAGGATTGTGGACTGAGACAACCCGAATAGACCTCGAAAGGCCTAAAAAACCCCGCGCATGGGCCGGGAAACGAGTGCAAGCACGTATGAGACAACGCACGAGTCGTTGGGACAAAGACCCCCACGACAGCAGCAGGCCTCGCAAAGATCGCAGGTGACCGCGGAGGCAATCTAGGTCGACCGCGCTGTGTAGCAGACGCTACCGCACGATAAGCAAGCGACGAACTGCGAGGCCCAAGCGAAATATAAAGAATCCCAACAGAAAATTTCCGTTGGAATGTAAGAGTTTTTTTGTAGTGTACTTCATCAAGTCGTCACTGTCTCCTAGGTCCCCCTTGTCCTTCGCTCGCCTGCCCTGGTACGTTAAGTCGTCTTACCAGGTTTAAGTTGTCCGAATAGTCCATTCGA